TCTGATACCTTGGGACTGAAAGCATTTATCGCTGCACTTTTTGTGTGCTACAGACAGGGAAATCTGGGAGAGGGATAGGTGGACAGTTAAGAAATGCAAATTAAGTATCACAGAACTTTCATTTTATTCTAATACTAATCTGCAGGAAGAGTGTCCTTTTCCTTAAAAATTTACCAAACTATATGTCACAGTGCCACAAGCCTGTTAACTGTCAGAAATTTTCCAGGCCTACCTGCAATCCTAACTGTGATTGTCAGGAGGATTATCCAAAGTCTGATACTCTGCTAGATGAAGTGGAACTGCTCAGCACTGAGACTGATTATTTTCATGTGGCTGTTTACCAGCTACCTCATGGTTTGAAGTTTGCTGTGATTGTACTTCTAACAGGGCCTTGAGAGAGCATCAGAAACAAATGTTTTGCAATACTGACAAAAGAGAATCACAGAAGAGTTGAGGTCGGAAGGCATCTCTGGAGGGCATCTGCTCCAACCCCCTTCTCAAGTAGGGCCACCTAGAGCAGGCTGCCCAGGACCATGTCCGGACAGCTTTTGAGTATCTCCAAGGATGGAGACTCCTCAACCTCCCTGGGCAACCCATGCTAGTGCTCTTCACCCTCACAGTGAAAAAGTGTTTCCTGATGTTCAGAGGGAACCTCCTGTGTTTCATTTTGTGCCCTTTGCCTCTGGTCCTGTAACTAGGCACCACTGGAAAGAGCCTGGCTCTGTGATCCTCTTTCCACCCCCCCTTCAGGCATTTATATACACTGAGATCCCCTTGAGGCTTCTCTTTTCCAGGCTGAACAGTCCCAGCTCTCCCAGCCTTTATTCAGGAGGGATGCTCCAGGCCTTTCATCATCTTTGTGGCCCTTTGCTGGGCTCTCTCCAGCGTGTCCATGACTCTATTGTAGTGAGGAGCCTAGAAATGGGCACAGAACTCCAGATGTGGTCTCACCAGTGCTGAGTGAAGGATCACTAATTACATCCATCCCTAAGAAAGGCATATATGCCCCAAGATTTACCTACATTTCTTAAATTACATCAAATGCTCCATTACCAGGTACTCCTGCACCTATGAATTTCCTCTGAAGTGCAAAATATCACTGGCATTTTAAAAAAAAACAAAACCTTGTACTGATAGAAAAAACAGAGCATAGCCATCAACTGCAGTGTCTCTACAGATCTCCTCTGCTTCTCCCTACCCAAGAGACATCAAAACTCCAGTCAAGTGTGAAATAATCCCACTGTCGTGCATCTCCCGACTTTTTCTTTGAAATAAAATCTCACTGTCGAACAGCAGTACATAACACTTACAAATATGCTAAGTACCTCAGTATGAAGTAGAGTCAAGTTGCTAATGGTGCCACACGATTATCATTCAGTAAAGCATCCCTACAAAAATGATCCAGGATCCCATAAGGGTTTACCACCAAAGAGGTTCTCTACTGAGTATGTTTTTAACTGTGTGTTCTTACCCAGGTTTCAACATCAAGTATGAGATTCTGAAATGAGATGTAGAAAAAACCAATCCAAATAACAAAATTCCAAAAGCAGAAGTCAGCATGTGTGACTCAATATGCAAAATCATTACCAGATGCAGATGTCAACCATCAATCCCATGACAGAAAACTTCTGCTTCATCACTCCTATGCATAGAGTCATAAAACTGATTACATTGCATGTATTCTACAATATCAACAAATCCAACTCTACATTGTCCAGCTGAAAGTATTAAATTATTAATACTGGTGTCTCTGATCCCACTGAATAATTTCTGAATAATAGTTCCTACTCAAACTTCTTCCGTACTAAATAAAAAAGATTAGTGTCAAGTAAAGTCTCCCAGAAAGTAAGGAAGAGACTTCTGGGTTAGGAACTAAACTACATACCTTTAATGAAACAATACTGATGAAAAAAAAAATAAAGAAATGTATAGAAATATAGATAAAACCAGTATCTTTCTCCCCCCAGCAAGTCACCTCACCACTGAGGCTGCAGGGCAGGCCCTGGGAACATCCTGGACTGGATCCCTGGGGTGGGCAGTAGAGGGGAACTAGATTTGGGAAAACATGGATTCAGGATGTGGACCCAAGGACTTGCCATGAACGAAGAGAGCTTAACCCTTATGATTCCTCAGTTATACCGAGGTGTATGACACACGCATGGGACGGAATACTTCATTTGGTCAATTTTGGGTCACCTGCCCAGTCCATTCTTCCCCACAGGAGGGTCACTGGTGTGACCCTTTCTCCTCTCTTTCATTTGCAGAGCACAAGAAGTTTAGTGGAACGAAGCAGTGACCGCAGCTCTGCACACCCTCCTCTAGCAGTAACTATGAACACAGAGCGTTACCAGTCCTAGAAGCAGACACTGACTTAACTACATGCTGTTAATTTCAGAAAGTGCAGTTACTTAGAAGATACCTAACTGAAAAGTAATTAGAAGAAAATTGGTTCCATCCTGGCTCAAACCAGGACAATTAGCTTTATATTGTTAGATTTCGAACAGGGAAAAACACTTTGAGGGTCTTATTCTTTAGATAGACTTTAGAAATTGAAAAAGACATTTAAACCAAGTTCCTTTATGCACTGTAATAAAGTGTTCTTGAAATGTGAACTGTAAAAATTATGTCAAATTATTTTTCTAGTATTTCTGAATACACTTGAAACATAATCAGAATGACACTGCCTCGGATATTTCAGAACTTAATTTTCCAGTTTAAGTATTGGATATTGTATTAATAGAATTAGTATTTCCATCTTACAGTTCTGATTTTGCTTCTTCTGGCAACATTGAAAAGAACTGATACAAGATTTTCTGTAATCCATCTTATAACCAAACTTCAAGCATACAGATGTTCATTACTTCTCATTTGGCTCTACATTCTGAAGAAAAAAGTGGATTGCCTGCAAATTAGGAGCTCTGCGTATTTCAGAAACTTTCACTGCAGACTGCTTTGCCATAATTTGAAATCTGACAGTGAAATCCTTCACACTAAACAGCTTTATTCCAGAGTGCTGAAACTTCAGGAAGCAAATAAAATCTTGTGTCACAGAAAACAGTTATCAAAATCATAGCCCACAGCTGCCAAATTATCAGAAACATTTTTCCTGGATGAGCAAGGAAAAAAACAAAGCAAAACCACCACCAGACCTTACTTCAGTCAAGATGTTTCAAATAGCTTCGCTTTTGAAAATCCCCAGAATGAAAATACCCCAAAACTCTACAGCAGAAGTATGTCACAAAACAGACTGAAATTGAAGTTGTCCAGGAGGAAAAAAACATCCAGGAAGGTAAGCTACAACATAAATTACTATAAGGAATAAACAAGTTGCATCCTCACAGCAAACACATGATACTGAAGAGACCACACATACACAGCCAACTTCATACCCTCTTTTGATTAAGTACCTTGCAAGAATTCACAGACAGACACTATTTACCAAAGACCACAATGACCAGAATGCTCACTTTAAGCATTCTCATTTTAAGCCCTAATTCAGAAAATTAATTAGCACTTTGTCTAAATCATGCAATGCTCCCACTGTAAGCCCTAATTAAATGTATAAATTATATTATTCATATTGTAGTTTGCTTTTTTTTTTTAGGAAGGACAGTAACTGAAGACTCATGGGAACTTCTTAAGTCTGGTGTAGCTTCAATGTCACTACATCAAAAAATATACGGAACCAAGAAAGGGATAAAGAAGTAAAAATTTATTATGTTCTTCGATGAACACAGGGACATAAAATTTATAAAATTCGATCACATCTTCAAAATTAAAAATAATATCTATATAAACACTAAAATGGTTGCTTGTTACAGTAAGCAGCAGCCTACAAGAAGCTCCAAACCAGTTTACTATAAATCAAGTTCTTAATAAAAAAATAAGCTACTTAAAAAAATGACTTCAGAATTGAAACATTATTGTAGCACATATCCTTATAGTTTGTACAAAGAAAAGTCTGTTGGCAAAGTGAGACTAAGCTGAAAAAGCTCTGAATGACAAGCATCCTCACCATTCTGTTAAAAAGCTTTTTCTAAATTCAACACGAGTCCTTCAAATTACACAAGTTTTCTCCTTGTTAAAAGAGATTCACATTTCTAAATACAATTCAATGAGGAAATATTTTACACTTCTGTTTATGTAGCCACAGGGGAAAAAAAATTAAGAATATGCCTCTTAACATGCCTTGTCATTTTAAGTAAGTTTCTTCTTGCAGTGTACCTCTGGCTCAGACATTTGTGGGGTTTTTTATCCCGAATGCAGTGCAAAACAATTTGACCCAACCACTATTTACAAAGAACTTCCACTATGAAATTTCTTTATTATAAAGTAAACCTACCCTCCTTCCTGTCTTTTCCCATCCTCATACTTGCCCAGATGAGCACCCTGATGCAGGGTTACAAGCAAGTAGCACTAGGAGCATCCTGCAGCTGTGGCCACAAGGAATTCTACAAAGAGGCTCAGAGGACCCACCTCACTGCAGCTACTGTTGGTCTCTATCATCTTTTGTTCTGGACCTGCTGAGCCAAAAAGAACTGCCCTGAGTGGACTGGAAGAGAGCATCAGAACAGCTCTTAAAATTCTACCAACACTTTTCTTCCACCTGTGTAAACATTGTAAGATTCAAAATTCAATACACACTGGCATTAAAAAAACAAACAACACCTTTAAGATAGTGAGAAACTCTGCCTGTGGAACAGAGTAGGCTTTCTCTGAGGTTCAAGTATATAAAGTGTGCAGAGCCGCTCCTCTTTATGCAGATGATATTCTTTTTATCATACAATGAAATGGCAGTCAAAACAGTGTAGGGTACAAGGAGTTGACTGTGTTTTAACTGCAGTCAGCTTGCAGCAGAGAAGGTTTGTAATGTCCTACTAACAAAGTGCAGATTTAAAAGCCTGAAGACAATGATTCCAAAGTAGCACTGTCTTCCTTAGGCATAATAAAAAATACTCAAATACTGCCAGTCCCATACATGAATTTCACTTTCTTAAAAGTTATGCTATTTGCTTTTCTAACGATTCTTCTGACACTTTGCTCCCTGAAGTATCGCCATCATTTGAATAATTCCCTGAATCTCTACTGCTCTGTTTAGAATGTTTGTAGTCTTTAAAATCCACTTGATTCACTTCTTCTAAGATGGCGTCAATTATACAATAGTTTTCTACTGGTTCTTCTTTAGTTGAGAGAAAAGGATGGCTTAAGACCTGTTTTCCAAAACCCTGCAAAAAGAGAAGCAGAAAAGAGATGAACATTCTTATATAACGCCTATGTAATTATTTTGCATAACACAAGATCTGTACGAATCTGGTTTATCATATTCAGTAGCATCATGAGGTTTTCTAACTAGAATATGCTATTGGTCTTTCCAAGTTCACAAACTCAAAGTTAGAATGAAGTTTAGTTGCATTCATATACTTGAACACTAAAGAAAGACTAACATTAATCTTGGCTCTTTTGCTATGCTCATAGTTGTCAATCACCTAGATAGGCACAGTATTTCATTGATTATAACCTTAAGAGGCTACACAAGAACTAAAGGAAAATCCTAATTCAGAACACTTCCAAAGGTCATGTGGTATCATGGGAGTGACAGATGTGTGTTTGCAAAGTCTACAAATCATCATCAGTTAAGTCTGAAAGAAGAAAGTGAGCTGCTGCAGCAGAATACCAAGCCTTATGCAGCTCTCAACAGTGTGCTGCTGTCTATCCTACATGCTTTAAGTGTATTTCTGAAGTGGTCATTTATAAAAAAATCCATCATAAAATATTCTAAATATGAATCAATCACAGAATTCCAGGTTGGAAGGGACCTCAAGGATCATCTGCTCCAACCTTTCAAGGTAGGAACACAGTTTAAGTGAGACGGCCCAGCACCTTGTCAAGATGAGTCTTTAAAAGTGTCCAGTGTTGGGGAATCCATCACTTCCCTGGGGGGATTATTCCAATATCTGACTGCTCTCATAGTGAAAAGCTTTCTTCTGGCACCCAATGGGGATCTACCCAGCAGTAACTTGCATCCATTACCCCATATCCATCTGACTCCTTGTAAACAGGGAGTCTCCATCTTCTTGGTGCCACCCTTTAAGTACTGGAACGTGGCAATAAGGTCTCCCCTGAGCCACCTTTTCTTCAGTCTGAACAAACCCAGCTCTCTCAGCCTTCCCTCATATGACAGGCTTCCCAGGCCTTTGATCATCTTCATGGCCCTTCTCTGGACCCTCTCCAGCCTGTCCACATCTTTTTTGTGTGGCAGAACTGAACACAGTGTTCCACGTATGGTCTGACAAATCTGAGCAGAGTGGGATGGTAGCCCCCCAGTACCGACTTGCAACAGATGGCGTTTTCTCTTTGCTGGTGATACCTTTGCTGATGCAGCCCAGCATCCTGTTGGCTTTCTTTGCTGCTTCAGCCCACTGGTCACTGGTATTGGGCTTGTTGTTCATCAGAACCCCAATGACCCTTTCCACAGAGCAACTCTCTAACCAGGTGCATCTCAGTCTGTGCTGTGCTCCTGGGTTATATTTTCCCAGGTGCAAGACCATACACTTGTCCCCATTGAAATTTATGAGATCCTTGTTAGCCCACTATTCCAGCCTCTCCAGGTCTAGAAGGGTGGCTCTCCCTTCTAGAGTGTCTACTTCCCCACTCAATTTGGTGTCATCTGCAAACTTCATCAGGATGCACTTGATCCCAACATCCAGATCTTAAGACATCAAACAGCATTGGGTCCAATATGCATTACATTAATGATGTGACCAGTATTCTACTGAACAAACCAGCTGAAACACTGCATTGCAAATACATTAAATTCAGATTAGCTCTTGTTAACCAGAAGACTGGTTTTAAACTACAGCTTTATATAATACATATCCTAGGAGCCTCAGTGACAAGGTGACACACATTAAGAAGGCCATACACTGCTCAACATCAAAGTTCTAAGCAACACAAAAGAAAGCACAGTGAAAAGCAGTTCTTGTTACATTTCAAAGTATACCTACACTTAAGTGCTGCCCTGTTCACTCCAGAACAGGATCCCTACTAAGTACTATCTGTGCCAAGCTGAGCTGGAAACTGGATGTCACCTGCCATTTCAGCAGCCATTCAGACCACTGGGTCAAGAGATAATAGAAACATTTGCTGCCTGCTACACTAAAATTTGCTCCTTCTCCAAGTTTTAAAGGATGGCAAAAAGGCTAGAGTATGCTCTTCCAGATAACACAATGGGAAAACGTTTCTCCATCTCTCATAGTAGGGCAAAAGGACATCATCACATTTTGTAGACGTGTACATTCCCTTGAACAAAGGATTGTTAACAACACTTTTGCACAGCAGAAAAAAAACCATAAATCACAGAAATCGCTACTACTCATTTATTCAGTAGGAATTCATGCACTTCATTAAAACCTATACAACTAATCTCGGAATACCCTTAAGACCAGAGATAAATGCTTTTAAATAATATTTTTATGTTCATTTGTCTAATATATCTGCTTCATGAGAAAAACAGGGCTCATCTTACCTCTATGTTCACAGGAGGCTGACATGATGGAAAGAACACATATTTTATTTTAATGCAGCATCGATACACGACAAAAACAAGCAGTGTAACCACAGCCAAGGAAATCAGGGCATATACAAATCTTGCAAAAATTGTCCAAAGTAAAAAGTTACCTAAAAAAGTGAATAAAAACATTCTGTGTAGGCATTAATATAATACAAAGATTAAAGAACAGATTATCTCAAAATTTGCTACAGCATTTACCATAAAACTTCACATTTCTGCAGTACTACACCCAGCCATAATGATCATTACAAAAGTGGTGCCATTCCAAACTCTTAGATAGTTTTACTAAAACCATTGCACAAAAAATACTTATCCAATGTATGAACACAGGCATCTGCAGACAGAGCAGAACAAAAATCCAGTTACATTCCAGTTATATGCTCCTATTTGACAGCAGGACAAGAAGACTGCACAACAACAGCTACCATGAAGCACTACAGGCATATAAATGTATTCCATTATTGGTTGTGTTCAGGGCCTAATCCCAAGAAACACAACATGTAATTGATAGAGTGCTCTCCTTTGAAAAGGTAGATACAGGAGCACGAATTCCCATTGGCTATGGCATACGAATGGGCAATTACTACAGTGAAGTTTGGCCACAGTTATTTAGCCAGGAAATTATTAGAGTGCTTAGAATTGCAGGGTCTACAGGGACCCAAAGACATCCAAATGTCTTATTGGATTAGAGAAGAACTGACCCAGTATCAGTACAGTCTGGGGGATGAATGGATTGAGAGCAGCCCTGAAAAGGATTCAGGGATACTGGTGGATGAAAACTGAACATGAGCTGGCAATGTACACTTGCAGCCCAGAAAGCCAACTGTATCCTGGGCTGCACAAAAAGGGGCCAGATGGTGGAGGGAGGCGATTCTCCTGCCCTGCTCCACTCTCCTGAGACCCCACCTGGAGTACTGCATGCAGCTCTGGGGTCCCCAGCACAAGACAGACATGGACCTGCTAGAGCACAAAAAATGTCAGAGGCTTGAAATGCCTCTCCTAGGAAGGCTGAGAGATTTGAGGTTGTTCAGCCTGGAAAACAAAACCTCTGAGGGAAACCTTATAGCAGTTTTCTAATACAGGAAAGAGGCCTGTAAGACAAAGAGACACTTTTACCAAAGCCTGTAGTGACAGGACAAGGGACAACAGTTTTAAACTGAATGAGGGTAAGTATAGGTAGGACATAAGGAAGAAATTCCTTATGAAGAGGGAGGTGACACTGGAACAGGTTGCCCAGAGAAGCTGTGGGTGTCCCATCACTGAAAGTGTTCAAGGGGGTTTGGACTAGATGATCTTTGAAGGTCTGTTGCAACCCAAACCACTCCATCAGTCTATGGACCTGCATTAACCCAGAAAGTGTAGAAAATCTAACAGGCTAGGCTTGGTTCCAGAAATAATCATTCCAGTTGGGACCTTGTGTTAGAAGGAATTTAAAAGGACAGAGTCCAGCTTTTGATAGTAAAATACCATAGACAAAGAAACCTTTTATCTCTGTAGTCATTAGCTAGCTATTCAGCCTCAAGTTCAAGAGTTGTTCAAGATTCCTTTTCCCCTCCTCTCTTCTCCTTTGCAACATATTCTCTGGCACTGTGTTTTATCAAGCAAACAAACCAAAGGGAGTATGAGCATGAAAATAATACATACCAGGAGACACTTTTAAAATAAGCAAGATAAGACAACCAGGTCTTTAAAACTCTATTTCCAGTTAGTATGAATGATTGAAGAATGAAAGATTTCCACACTGGGATATAAGAACACATAAAAAGCACAAGGCATGGTCTGTATCACTGCATCTCTCAATATGGAATCTTAAATGTACTGCTTGGTCTTAAATAAGCTCATTGAAGAGCTCATAGAAGAATAGGGGGAAGACTAACACCTAACTAGTAAAATAAAGAATTTATCTTAGGAAGCTTAAAAAGTAACACTTGTTCTTTTTTAGGCTTCATAAAGACAAAGCAGCAAGAACTAAGATATAAATTAAGAGCTTAAGGTATGAGAAAGTTGCATTACTATGATTACATTTCCTTAGCTTCAAGTCAGTTTGGATATTTAATCATCTTTCTAGTGTTACAGCCAGTTAATAGAAGATAATTGGCCAAATTCAACAGATAACTTGCTATTATGTTCTGAGTGCAATCCATCTACAGATGTATTATCATTTTGCACAAAGGTGAGCTTTCAGCTCTAATAAGTCTGATGATTTTTCTCCTCACACTTTAGCAAAGGATTTTAAAAAATTAATTTGATTACAGTAGAATTAAGATAATTTCAAAAATCAAACATTCTTGAAAATGTAGCATTTAGTGATTTCTTGCACCCCCTAAAATATATGAGTACTGGAAATTAAAACTTGCCTATTAACAAGTCATTGTACAGAACTAATTCTAATTCACAATCACAATGATAATTTCTAAACTGAGTTGTGTCATGTAATTTTGATCAGGTCATAACAGAAGCAGTTTTTGTTTACCTACAAGAGAGAATACAGAGCAGAAAAGAGACAGATTGCTGATGTGGATCTTTGGCCAACTGGGTGGTAACTCTGTGTAGCCATTAAGTCATGCTGCAAACATTTTTTAACTAGCGAGACCTGCAAAGGCCTATGAAGAATTAATAATTTTACTTCTAGAGGTGTAACCATTGTCAAGCTTTTCCTACCTCCACGTGTTTTGATGCATTCCTCTTCGCTGAAATGACTGCTTTTGTTGTAAACTTCTGAGAATGCTTGTACTTTCACACAGTACAAAGTTGAGGGTGTTAGACCAGAGATTGTCCCTATTGTCTGCTTGATCTCTTTTATTTTGATTTCCTTCTGAAAAAGAATAACCAAAAGAGTAAGATGCACACAAAGAGCCACAAAATGTTGGCCTCTGCTGAAGTAGTTCTGTAAAAAGTAAGACACCATTCTGCACTTGCATTAAATAAAAGAAACCACAGAACTCTCTCCTAGGCAAGTGCATTCAGGACACACTGGCAAGAACCAACTGCTTTCACCATACTGAAATTTTACAATTCAAAGCTGTGTGCAAAACCTGTTGCAGTTTTTCTTCTTTTCTTCCACACATTTACACATACATATTTACTGGTAACTGTAAGATATTTTATTGTAAGAAGCTTTTCAAGACTATGAAAGGAACTATTAGAATGTGAGCAAAAAGCGTGCAAGACAGCATTACTTTATGAATGATACATACAGCTGCAAAACTAAATACAAAAAGAGAATCTGAGGGGCCAGAAGCTACTTTTAGACAGTGCACAGAGTCATACTGTAAGAAAGACAGCACCCTACAACCTCTACTCACAAGTGGCCCATTTAGCAGCTTGTACAAAATGCAGTGCAATTCTGCAGATCATTATATATGGCCACATCAGTGGAAAAAGATTAAAGTGTTAACTAATTTGTGATAAAATCTGTCTTGATTCTTCTTAAAAGAATCTTTCTGGAAAAAAAGAACAAGCAAATTGACTGCATGATTGATGTATATGCCTCTCTTGAAAATAAGCCTGAGAAGAACTCAAGCTCAGTATTTAAGTCATAACAATTTTTACATACTATTTTAAGTATTTAGCTAGTTCACACCTCATTATTTGAGGAATAATTCCAATACAGAATCCGGTAAGACAAGTCATAATGGTTCCTCATTGCTTCACTCTCTGGTCCTCCTGGAGGAAAAATCTGGATATGGAGCAACACATCACTGACGTCCACCTTTACACCAGGAGGGCCAATTTCATCTTAAGACATAAAAAAACCACAAAAAACAAAGCAAAACAAAAAAGTTAAAAATAAGACAGAAAGAAAAAAAATTGCATAAAATACTGTAATTTAAATCTATGACAATTTTTGAGAAGCAAATACTTAAAAGTCTAACTTGACTAACAGTTTTATTCAGGATCTAAAGTCCTGAGAAATATTTCAGTTATTGTCTCTTCACACATTCCTATATTGCTTCTTCAAGTTTCAGTGAGTTGAAATATACAGGCAGTGGGATCAACTCTGTGCAAGTCTAAGTGAATCTACTGAACACTTTTAATCTCATTAGGATATGGGACCTATTTTTCACATGTACCTTCTTTCACTGTTATAGTATAGTTGACAAGTAAAAAGCATTACAGGTTTTGTTTTGTTGAATCATTTACCTAGGTCATTGTTATCTTACTAAAGAATTACGCAATAATCAAAAGGAAAAGAGGATATACAGAACAGTATGGAAGGCAATATAATATTACCCTACGTATTAGAGAAATGTTTCTTGACATTTATGATTGATAACATTTTGGAAGTCAAACATTTTAGTAAGGTCACATTTCTTACAAAATAAAACAGTACAACAAATATTAAAATTACTATATTATCACTCTGGATAGTGTTACACATTTTTAACTTAGATGTCACTATCATTTAAGACTGCTTTTTCACTAAGCTTTTCAGAGTTGTGTGTCATACTGCCTCAGCACAAAATTTAGGGGTGCACTATGCAGGGGAAGAGAGAAAGGTGGAGATGAGCACAGATACACGAGAAAATAGAGGCAGTGGATTCCAAAATTATTTGACTTTAGCAACATTTTTCTGAGATATCAGTAAATGGTTACTGTCAATAGCAAAAGGAAAACTACAGATAGTTCTAGTTCAAGCTCACACGGTGATTAATGTATTATACAGTGAGATTACAAAAGGTCATATAATACATTGTGGTTTAGGTATTGGCTGTGCTGAAGAGAGGGCCATGGAAAAACTCTTTCTTAACTTGATGAGGCCAGGATTCCCCCCAGAGTTTCTGTAGGGGAACTATGCATTCCATTTCATTAATCTAGCAAGTTTCTTTTTGCAAAAAATAGCATTAGGTATAAGGCTGTTGAGAAATGAAAATTCAAGAAAACACATTTGCTTACTTATTATCAGAGGATCTATTTTTACTTCATTGGAGAAACATGTTTTATTATATTCACTCATGGCCTGTACACGGAGATAATAAAATCCAGAAGTAGTAGTTATGATAGATGAGAAATTGCATTGTGTATCAGTGATGTTTTCACATCCAGGTACATTGACCCACTTCATCGAGTAGTCATCATGAAGTTTCTTCAGATACCCACTGCAAGAGACATGTTAATAGTTTTTGATGTGAGGTCCTTGAACTAGAAAACCCTCCAAACTCCATTCACTTGTGCTATGTAGGTTTTTTATTATTTTTAGAAGAATGGGCCTCTTAGAAATTTCTCATACTTAGAATACTGTTTTTTCATTGATAACTGAAACAGTGAATCTAAGTGGATCAGGAAATACAAATCAGTGCTTTATATTACATATTAGATTTTTTAAAAATTAAATATAAACTATGTTTTTCCATATAGTTCTATTAAGTTGATTATTTTTCTGTCATGCCAATGAAATTCTAAAAGAATGCTAGAGGTCTCTCTTCTCTTTGTTCAGATGCCGGCCACAATATTTGTGCGACAACTAGATATTCAGATCCAGGTTTATAGACATGATGAGCTTTTTCTTCCCTGTTGGGATCTGACCAGAACTAATCAAATATGTTGACAACTGAAACACTGTACACCTGTATTTTTGCTCACCTAATTTAATTAGGCATCTAATTTCTTCATATTCAAAAATATGAAGATTTGTAAAATATTGCTTAGCATATCTTTAGTAGTCCACTCCATCAGGTACCTAACATTTTTAAAAGAAGCTTAGTACCCTGAAATTCTAGAATATTATATGCAATTCTTTTAAAAGCCACACTGTGTCCAGGTGAGGTAGTCAATGTTTCAATGAATACATTAAGCCACTTTTGTTAAGTATTTCACTATAACTCCTAATAACTACTTGAAAAATACAATTAATGGCATTTTGAATGACATAACCTGTTTAAACAGCAACATGGAAATTGTTTAACTCACATTAGAGACTGCACATTGTAGGTCACGTGCAGTTTATACTGATTATTCCAATGCAGATGAAATTTCAGATTCAAAGCAAGAACACTCACATTTGTTGCACAGAATAGGTCATTCACTGCTCAAAATGAAAAGGAAACCCACAGTTACTGAAAAGCTTTATACTATGTGCAGCAATTTCTCTCTGAATGGATACTTCTCATGTAAATGGTCATGGGACACTTTTAGTAATGAAAACATGCATTGATGTTTTGATACAGAGATGGCAAATCAAAGTCTGTGGATATAGACAGCTGTCCTGGACCGCTAGTGACATCGTCAGTCTGTGACAACAGCCTGTTAAGCCTCTAGTTAAATAATCAGTTAAAATAAACTCAGAAAACTTTAAGTACAGAAACATGACGTCTAGTAGAAATAAACTGGTTCAGCAATAAATCAATTAGAAAAATGTGTAAAATATAGACACATAATGTACTTTTGACATACTATCCATCCGATTTAATGTTTGACTTTCTACATTCCACCACTTATTTTTTTCCTGAAATAAACATTTAGAAGTACCTAAACTTACACCTGAACAGCACACAAACAAATCTAAATGTAGACATGCAAAACAAGAAGCTGGTGACAAACAGCCACTAAGCTGTTCCTCAGAATCTGTAATAATTTCACCAGGGTTTGAATAAAACAAATATTTTTTAAGCTTAGCTCAGCTTTAAAGGCTTTTGTTTTGCCTGTATACATATCCTTTCCTCCTGATTCAAAGTCACAAATTCAAAAATACCCATTTCTCCAAATACAGAAAGTAGTTTTTGCAATCCAAATTAACAGGTAGAATTTGCTTCAGAGCAAAAACTTTTTTGAACTGTTAAAACTCTAATATTTGTATTTTATACTGATTTAAAGAACATGTATGTAACTGTCAAGATTTTTGTTACACCAAAATTAGTAGAAACTTGGCAAGTCTGTATATTTCTATTGCTTTGGAACTATTCATGTTCCAACCACTAAAACTTGAGTAATCATTTGAATATAAAACAATTTTACTCTGTACCTTTACGGGTAGTTTTTACACAATGAACAGGGCTGAATAAGCCTTCTTGTGATTCCAAAGCAAGAGTTGCTTGAACTTTCAAACAATAGGTAGTGTCTGGTGCAAGATCATCAATTATGCCATTAGGTAAAATACTTTGACTTCTGGGCTGTAAGAAACAATTGCAAACAGCATATGAAGATACCTGTTCTTCCTGATGAGCTGATTTTTTTCAAGTATGTTTTTTCTTCCCTAGGTTTTAGCCCTTTTATATAAAATGCCAAAAAAAATGCTAGAAGAGGCAACAAAGGACAATATATAAGCTGAATAAATGCTTAAGGGAAGTTTCCAGCTTAGCCACAGAATTTGAGAGGGTCATTGTGCTCCTTCAATGCATGAAAGTGGGGAGGGACTGAAGCACTGCTCTACATGACACAACTCACCACACAAATATTCATTCACATACTCAGAAGAGAAATAATACACTTCTGTCTCTCAATCCATTGAACAAACACTCCTCACTCCTGCTGCTACCTTCCTGCTTTTGGTTTACCAGACTTAAGTGACTGACCTTTGCACATAGCTTGTACTTAAAACTTTTTTTCCCCTTTGATGTGTAAATATTATGACTAGGTTTTCCAAATGAACACAGATACCTCTTCCATTCCTACCCTAATCAAGCTGGCACTCATTCCTCTAAAAGGCTAAAAAAAGAAAGACTGTTTCTACCTTGGCCTTTACAGAATAGCTATGTTGGCTGTGTGAAACGCACATAATGGCTTGGAAACTAGTTCACAATTACAAGACCTCAAAAGAATTCCTGCAAAACCCTACCCTGCAAAGAACTTAGGTTAATGACACAGGACAGTGTACTGACAGCTGCAGTCAAACTATATGGTCTCAGCAAAATCAAGTTAGCCTCTTACCCCTCCCCTAAGTCTGTGCCTTACTGTAAATATTTCTTCCCACTGCCTTGAGCTTTCCCCTCCCTGTTCCTGCTTCAGCACATCTGAGATGGTTTCACCTTCTGCCTCATGCACTAGAAAGTGGCTCTAGCATTTAACAGAAATAGAGAACTTTAATCACAAAATATCTAATACAATAATCTAGCAAAAACAATGCAAAAAAACCCAAGAAAACATCTCCACCCAATTTTTTAACTGCACAGCAACTATTATATAATAAAATAATTCCATGTTAGAGCATTAGGCACTTAAAGTACATCTTTGACAATTATGTTAAACTTAAAAAAAGTGATCATACCTCTGCATTTGATGAATTTTCCCAGATAACTACATTATATTTAAAAGCTACATCAGGAAGCCACATTTTTTTGACCTGATTTGCTTCTGGAGGAGAAACCTTAACTTTTATGACTCCATTTGTGGACTGCAGCTCTATTCCCGGAGGGCCAATCTCAGCTGCAAATATTAGAAGTCAAACATGACCATTTAAAGAAAAAACACCAAAACAGTAATATACAGTAATAAGCAAGGTAACCGCCTATGGTATCTTATTTTAAATGCTTTTGAGGAACTAACAAAATCACAGTCATTGCCTGTAGGATCACAGTTTAAGTGAATCTCAGTCAATTTCTAATAGAAATCTAGTTCTAAAAGCAGTAGAGTGAAAATGCAATATCACTAGTTAATGTTTTCCAGAATCTACACTGTGTAAATTATTCTAAAATATGCAAGGCAAGAAATGTAGCTCAATCAATCCAACATGGAGGGAAGACTTCAGTACTATAATGCAAATACTGAAAAGTCATGAGGTCAGAAGAGAACTTCCAGAAAAGTCCACAGTCAAAAGTTATTTTCCTGATCTACAGAAATACAGACTAACAGAAAAATTCTGTCATAAACCAGTATCACTTAGAACACTTAACCCTTGTCAGAAAAGCCAGAATCATAACATTCCATGACCTGCATATATCTTATATTAAGTTAAGGTTAAAAAACTTTCACTAGCTCATATTGTTATGAGCAATGGAAATCACATGTGTTTTTTTCCCACAGTAATGTGCTGAAGGATATTTAACTAAAATTGTTACAGTACACATGGAGTTCATACCTATAAAATATGGAATCATTTCAAAAACGCTAGACCATGGAGACACTTCTTCCCTTCTTTCTGCCCTTATACGCACATGATGTGTATCATAGTATTCAGTTATTGCTGAGGAAAAGTCACATTTCATGCCAGTAACATTCTGACACCCAGGCAACTCCTCCCATTCTGTTTCATTTATATTAGAATCTTCAGACCTGTAAGAAAGACAGCCCACCAAAAGATAAAAATAGACAATTTCTACTAAGTATAGACATTTTTTTTTGCTTTGCTTCTTAATACTAAGACACATCACATAATTTAATGCTGTTTTATCACCAGCACCAGAGTGTGGTTATCAGTGTTATCTACTTAGTTACCCTGGAATTCCTATCACAATTTAATTAACTAATTTAATTGTATTAGTTTATTATTTTAGCTTTTTTACCAAAGGTTAACCATCTGTCTCATTGCCGCATAAAAGTGGCAAAAAAGTCCAATTCTAACACTAGCAAGAAATTTAGGTTAGGAAAAAGAAAAACACTAAGTGGAGTTCAGCAGTAAGTGTTGAAATAATGATCTTTACAGAAGCTATTTTTCTTGTGAGTTAATACAATCCTTATCTTATTTAAGAAAAAGATCTTTCATATCGAGATTAAAGACGCCCTGACCAAAAGAGAAGAACAGACTTGAAGTAGTAACAGTTTATCCTCAAATCATATCTTATCTTTCAGACCAGTATTATGTTTTTACAATAAAATTGTTTTCTAAACAGTTCTTTCTTACCTACCGTTGAAGAAGTTGAGGTTTTCTTTTTTTTTTAAATCCAAAATCATAGACTAGGATATCCTAAGATCAAGAACTTTTAAAGTAAATTTTATCTTAGAAGTTTTTTTTAATATTTACTTGCCAAGAAAGTGCCACAAAATACAAAATATACATGCATGCACAAGTATTGGTACATGAAACAATTGAAGAAAACCAAGCAAACATTTAAGAGCAAAAATTAAATCGTTTCATCTGGCAATTAAAATTTGCAGATGAGAAAACCAGATTAATAAACACTGAAAAATTATTCAAAACCTACACTGAAAATTCTCTCAAATTCTGCATGCATGTGGTCACAATGCAGCTTAACTAAAAAAAAAACAAACAAAAAGATAATAAATACATCTAAATACTACACTTCTAAGTGTACCAGTTAATCTTCTCAAAAAGTGCTCTAGTATCAAGTATTACTTCCAAGTGTGTTCTACATATCAGTGAAGATTATAATTTTACATATGAATTAGACAAACAAAGGATAATACTGGGTTTCCACTTAGTTTCAAAACTTACTGTTCCTAGCTTCTACTTCCTGGGTTTCAAAAAGTGTCTACAAGTTTTATGTGACCACATCAAGATGCATAGTAATTAATTAATATGCTTTTGTACAAGAATAAGCATCAGAGATTTCTGGCTCAGAATAAAGTTACTACTTACCACCGGTATTCTGCTGAAAATGTCACGTTGGTATCATTCCCAGTGTAGTTCCACCTTAGAGTGAAATTTGTATTTACAATATAGACCTGAATATCCTGTGGACTCTTCAGAATAGTTTGGCCTACAAGAAAGTAACATAAAGGTATATAAAGACTGGGATAAATGATTTGTATATAAGACAAATTTGCTTTTATTAAAAAAAAAATAAGTAGAGTTACAGTGAAATGAGATAACATAAGAGCTCAGAAAACCCCATGCTACTCAAACAGCACTGCAATATATAGCTCAGGAGTTATGCATCAAATAGCTCCTTTTCCTATCTGACTATGCAGCTCTTTCCTCTGTGCTTCAAGTCCTTCTCCCTACACCCTTCTAAAAAAGGTATATACAAGTGTAACACTGAAGGCCTGTGTGCATTGTCACTGATTGATTATCAGCAGTCTGAATGCATTTAAACCAGTGTTTTATTGGTTGGACCCAACATCTGGATCTCAGCTGCAAAGTGCTAGGGATTGCCCTAGTGCTGTAATTTCACAGTTGCAGAACAGATTGAGCATAGCAGACTTGTTTTACATCATATGTTACTGCCATAAATTCAATGTATTGAACATAAATACCTTCCTGTGAGGCCTCACCACATAGCAGGACCTTGTATCTTGCTCATTATAATCCTGTGTTCTCTTTTACGCAGAGAATGGTGCATAAAATGACTTGTAGAGGGCAATGGATACATCTCAGGACACGTATAAGAATGCCCGTCATCAAGGGAAGAAGCAGAGGAAGAGAAGGCTTAACAGGCAAATTCCTGACAGGAGGGAAACATGCACGCTACAATCATGTGCAGGATAGCTCTCTCTCCTCTTTATTTTCCACCTTTAAAAATAATTATCAATAAAATCTGAACTGACCCATAACTATCTGATATTCCAGTTCCTAAATACTTCTTTACCAGTAACTTTGAGATATGCAGAATCCTAGGTGTCCCACTTCGTATACAGTTCAGTTATCAGAGGACAGACAAGAGTAACAATGCTGTGGGACAAGGAATTATTTTGATACTGCTGAACACTAGATTTATCTGGCTATCTATAAGGTACACTTTGTTCTGAATCATTTCACACCAGTCCGTGGCAATGCTTGAAAGCAAGGAGGCCACAAAGTTGCAACTGAGGTTGAATGTTTGGTCTGAAAGTTTTCTCCTACTAGACACTAAACCAGACCGTGGCTTACAGAACAAAGGGAAACAGTGTGAGGACACAGGAAATGTGTGTGAACTGAGGAAACCTCAGGCAGAAGTCACTAAAATTATGCCCAAACCACCAAGTAAGCAGCCATATTCAGATGTATAGACCTTAAATTGCTATGTACAATTTAGGCAGCACATCCCTCTGCCCTCTAAGAATGCACTTTCCAACATGCGAGGAGGAAAAACTATAATCAAATTGTATCATCACACAACTGACTTGACTTCATGTTTTTAATCAGTTGTGTGTTACACCATTAACCACTTGTCAATTACTACAACTTCTAAAAGCCTACGTTAGTGGCCATCAGTCTGAAATTGCTTTTTGATGTCAGTGTAATACTTGATTATATTAGGAAGAAATTGGAACAAATACATCCTATTTCACTTGGGCAAAGTCAGTTTGCACATCTACCAGTAATCCTGAACTTGATTTTAGAATCACTTCATATTTTACATGATGAGCAAGTTCTCTCTGTGAAAAGGAGATGCATGTAGAAAAACCATCTGTATACTGAGGTCTGCAAAATTCTTTCAGATAACAGAGGTGAAGTGGCATCCACAGACTTTAGGAAATAACTCCTGAAAGCACAAAATTTGAAAGGAAAATAACTCGATAAAACCTTATGGATCTCACTACAAAATTTATTTCTGCAATGCACTAATTTGTGACTCATCTAAGCTACCAGATAAGCCTGGAGAATGCCAAACTACATTTGATCACCAGAAAACAAGAAAGCAAAGGAAATAACAATTTTTTTTATTTATTTATTTTTCTTTTCTCAGATACTGATCCAACAGATGGCTACAATTCAGCCAAAAAAGCTTACAATAACAAATGCATCTATTTAACTTTTGGCAAGTAACAGCCGTTTAGAATATTTGTATCCCTTCACAAAGAAAACACTCACTTCAGGAGAAAAGATTGTTTTCACTGTATTGAGAATGTTTGCATTACTTTAAGAATAAAAAAAGACAGGAACAAAAAAGTTACACTAGCTTTTAATAGTAATTAAAAAAAAAAAATCCCAGAAAAATCCCAGAACTCTGCTAGTAACATAAAAAGTATAAGCCTGTCAAAGTCATCCAAAAAGAAAGAAAAAAGTAATTTGTTTAAAGAATACCACCATCTTTGGTAATTCATAGCTTGAATGTTATAATCTTACTTAGTAAAATTAATTGCTTTATGACACAGAGGTAGATCAGTTAAGTCTAGTGATACAGTGTAACACTTGAAATTTCAGTTTCAAAGAAACACTAACAAATTGATGCCCCTCACATCTAAAGTGCAGGACAGTGCTTTTCCCTGCAGATACACATATTCAAGTATTTGCAGAGACTTAAAAAAATAGAATTCACACACTCAGACATACCTTAGTAAGCAGCATGACAGAAAACCTGTTTCAAAATATCTTTTTGGAATGTAATTAAACTGCTGACATTTCTTCTCCAGACCTAAAGGGATGCACAGTTTCCTTAGTTCTCTGCAAAATTAACTCAAAATTCACTACAGGGTTTAAAGTAACTTCTACCAGTTACTCAGGAAAGACCCTGTAGCTTTAAAGGAATTTTCAGAAAGTTCTTAGTGTTATGGCCAACAACCATGTACAAATGTAAGCACTTGTGCTCAGTGCACAGCAATATTCAAAAAGGAGAAAAAAGTTAGAAACTGATACGGAATTAAGGGAGTAAAATAGAAAACATAATTCATTCTAGAAATCCATTATAGGCTTATCTTCAATATCATGCGCAGCTCTAGAGTGCCCGCTTCCATAAGTGGATAGCAGAAGAGAAAAAAGGCAGAGAGTGGTGACAAGGACAATCCAAAGTACAGAACAGCTTCTGTCCTGGAAGGGATCAGACTGAATCTTCAGTCTGAAAAGGCAACCAAGGGGAGGATATGACAGATCTACAGACACCTAATGAGTGGCATGGGGAATACAAGCAACAAAAGATTGTTTGCTCTTTAACAGGAAGCTGGAAGCATCAAAACAAACACCACTCTGCTCTAAGCAAACAAATTAAAACTGCTGCAAATTAAAACGGCCTGTGGAATTTCTTCCCCTAGGACTCTGTGAATGCTCAGCTCTTACCTGGCTTAGGAACTCAGTCCCAAATACAAAGTCTCAATGCTTCAGACTGCTGTAACACTATGTTGTGAAGTGTCACCATATACCTGCTTTTTTATACAATAAAATAATATATAATAACTATTTACTGAAGGTCCCAGTTATGCCCTTTCATCTGTTCACTCCATCTCCCATTGCAGGTAAAAGAAGAGATATAATCAGAGAGCCCACTTGCAGTACTGTGTCCAGTTCTGTAGCCCCCATCACAGGAAGGACATGGCGCTACTGGAGCAAGTCCAGAGAAGGGCCACAAAGATGATCAGAGGGTTGGAGCACCTCTCCTATGGAGGAGTTGGGGTTGTTCAGCCTGGAGAAGAGAAGGCTCCTTGGAGCCCTTATAGCAACCTTCCAGTACCTGAAGGGTCTACAGGAAAGCTGGGGAGGGACTTTTTACAAGGGCTTGTAGTGACAGGACAAGGGGTAACGGATTAAAACTTGAAGAGGGGAGATGGGGAGATTTAAATTAGACATTAGGAGGAAATTCTTTACTATGTGAGTGGTAAGACACTGGAACAGGTTGCCTAGGGAAGCTGTGGATGCCCCATCCCTGGCAGTGTTCAAGGCCAGACTGAATGGAGCTTTAAGCAGCATGGTCTTTTTGGAGGTGTCCCTTCCTATGAGTTGGGGATCTAAATGATCTTTAAGGTCCCTTCCAACCCAAACCATTCTGTGATTCTATTCTTTGATTGAAATTTTTTAAAAAGTTAATCATCACCAATTCACATTTTAACACTTGTAACCATCCATTCATATACTGGAAGCACAGAAAATGAGCTGCAAGAGAAAACTGGAGAAAGTGGCCAATTCAATGTACATTGTCTGATGTTTGCATGGAGAATTCTGTGGTTTCCACCACTGCATCATCTATTTTTACAGGCTATGGATAACAAAGGGTTTGCAGACTGCAAAACCCAGAGTCTAACCTACACCTCCTCTAAGCACATTTATCCAATGTACTTCTTACCTGCTGATATTAAAGCATATTATTTTTTTACATCAGTCTTTTACGTATTTGAGAACTATGTTAAACATGACTAACAAGAGAAAAGCTGCATGGCAGCAACAATTCTTTTAATTTTTCTTTTAAGGCAAATTTTCAAGCTTTCTGAATGACTTCTATTTTTTTTTTTTTGCATTCTCTCCAAATGGCTTAAGTTGCTTGAAACAGCATACTTGAGGAAGTCACAATACTCCAGCTGAGATCAGTAAATGCAAGTCTAGCTTACAAAACACAGAACCTAACCTTTCAACTCTAACCAGCACTGCAGTGCCCTAATACTTTTGAGGTTTTCAACAGAATAGCACTTAAACTTCTACACAAAAAGTACAAGGCATTGTAACATTGCATCCTTGTTTTTCCCAGGACAGATATTTAGCCAAACCTTTGTCATCCTCTATTTGCTTAAGTACACAGCCTCATACGTGTCCTTTTCCAATACCACTGTACTTTTTTTCTGGAGTACTTCTCCAGTTTTTCAGGCTATTTCTCAATTCTGCTTTTCAAAACAGGTGTGAGCTTTGCCAACTCAGCTAGATGTGAATTTAATAAGCTCACACTGTTCTATTATACAGATTATTAGCAGGTCCCCACTTGATACGTCGTTCTCTCTTGACACTGAACTTTAACAAATTTTAATGATCTGGAAAAATCAGACTGAAACAGTTTAACATGGATTATTTTTGTAGGCATCCTTAAAAGATTTAGTATATAATATGGATTAAAAAGAAATACTAAACAAAACCACTTGCAGTTAGAGCTTCTCTAGCCATCAAGTCTTCTATTTTGGAACAGCAGAAAATCAGGTTGATTTAAAAAGACAATTGTTCTCAATAGTACGGACATACACATGCTCATCCTTTCTCATAATACTCCCTAACTCCAGTATTTGTTTCGTGTTTGCTTCCCTAAATTAATTTCTTAAATCCCAGTGAGCAGCAGTGCAGGAATGAAAGAGTAAACTTAATAACTTTTAACTACCACAGAAATATTGTGATTCAACTAGAAACCAGATATATTAAGTAATATCTAAAAATCAATACTTCTTCCTGGTTTCTTTTACTAGTGATGAAAAGACAAACATTTAAAATGAATTCAGGTTTCTTCAGTTCAAGTATGATGGCAGTTTGGTGCTGAGGACAACACTGTACTGTATTGGATTGTCAAGGAAAGAACAAATTGAAGACAAGAAAAGTTTTCAGCACAATTGCCTATCTTCCCCTGTCAAAGTTGAATAGACTAAGATAAATACAAAACTGTTCTAATAAATATCTCTATTTAATGTATAATATTTTCACATATATTTTCAATAAATGATAGTTGAAAATACTAAAGATTACGTAACATTACAGAACAAAAAATGCCATTCAACAATAGGAGGAAGCAACCTTAG